GGGATCAGATTACAGAAATAAATAAATTTCACTCTGCTTTGTGCAAATTCTGACAGATTTTTTTTCCTCATTTCATTCCCAGGTCCTGTCAGCAGTATCCTGGTCAATAAGTATGGAAGTCGGCCTATTATGATTTTAGGAGGCTGCCTCTCAGGAGCAGGGCTCATTGGTGCCTCTTTCTGCAATACTATCGAAGGCTTGTACTTCTGTGTTGGTGTAGTGGGAGGTATAATTAAAAACAAATATGATTTTTTTTTAAACACACCGTTGCTCTTATCCCATGCAATTTACAGTAATGGCACTCCTGGTGATGTTACACTCTTGTGACACATTTTACTATCATCCAGGGCACCTGTTTTCATTTTGAACTGTGTGTTATGATGTTTTCCAGGTCTTGGACTGGCATTTAATCTCAATCCAGCTCTCACAATGATTGGGAAATATTTCTACAAGAGGCGCCCAATAGCTAATGGTATTGCCATGGCTGGTAGCCCAGTCTTCTTGTCGACTTTGGCTCCCCTAAACACCTGGTTCTTCGAGCATTTCGGCTGGAGAGGGAGCTTCTTGATCCTGGGTGGACTTCTGCTGAATTGTTGTGTAGCTGGATCCCTGATGAGGCCCATCGGGCCAAAACCCCAACCTGCTGTTAATGCTGCTAATAGCGAAGCCAGAGAGCAAAAGAGCGTGATGGAGATCATCAATGGTTTTATCGATCTTACACTCTTCAAGCATTGTGGCTTCTTGCTTTACCTTCTGGGTAACGTGGTCATGTTCTTCGGCCTCTTCACTCCTCTTGTGTTCCTCAGTAATTATGCCAAGAGTAAGGAAATTCCCAAAGAGAAGGCGGCTTTTCTGCTTTCTGTCCTGGCCTTTGTAGACATGGTTGCACGACCTTCAATGGGAATAGTCGCCAACACGAAATGGGTGAGACCAAGGGTGCAGCATTTCTTCGCAGCATCCATTCTCCTTAATGGTGTGTGCCATCTGCTTGCCCCTCTGACCACAGACTACACAGGGTTCGTGATTTACTCCATCTTCTTTGGGTTTGCCTTCCCAATAGCTAATGGTATTGCCATGGCTGGTAGCCCAGTCTTCTTGTCGACTTTGGCTCCCCTAAACACCTGGTTCTTCGAGCATTTCGGCTGGAGAGGGAGCTTCTTGATCCTGGGTGGACTTCTGCTGAATTGTTGTGTAGCTGGATCCCTGATGAGGCCCATCGGGCCAAAACCCCAACCTGCTGTTAATGCTGCTAATAGCGAAGCCAGAGAGCAAAAGAGCGTGATGGAGATCATCAATGGTTTTATCGATCTTACACTCTTCAAGCATCGTGGCTTCTTGCTTTACCTTCTGGGTAACGTGGTCATGTTTTTCGGCCTCTTCACTCCTCTTGTGTTCCTCAGTAATTATGCCAAGAGTAAGGAAATTCCCAAAGAGAAGGCGGCTTTTCTGCTTTCTGTCCTGGCCTTTGTAGATATGGTTGCACGACCTTCAATGGGAATAGTCGCCAACACGAAATGGGTGAGACCAAGGGTGCAGCATTTCTTCGCAGCATCCATTCTCCTTAATGGTGTGTGCCATCTGCTTGCCCCTCTGACCACAGACTACACAGGGTTCGTGATTTACTCCATCTTCTTTGGGTTTGCCTTTGGCTGGCTGAGCTCAGTGCTGTTTGAGACCCTCATGGATCTTGTGGGATCTCAACGTTTTTCCAGTGCTGTAGGACTGGTGACGATTGTGGAATGTGGGCCAGTTTTACTGGGGCCACCTTTACTAGGTGAGTATGGAGTGTGTTTATGTCTCTTACTCTGTGCAATGGCCCAGTTTTGAACAGCAAACCAAATGACAAAAAATAGCTTTATTTATTAAGCATGCAGCTTTTAGGACCTCATATTAATTGAGAGACTACAGAGAGTATTTGTCACAGAACAGAAGCAATTACAATTAACTAGTGAAGGCTAAAATGTTAACTTTTTTTTTTTTTCCCAAAACTGAACGGTCACATGACCTAAAATTAATTTTCCCTTATGCATTTAAATAAATTGTAATCTAAAATCTTGGAAATACATTAACCATGCAGTCCCAGAAGAAAAGACTTTTGCATGCCTTTGCAAAATTAAGATGCATAATGAGGAATAGATTATGGCATTGTGCATTATTATCTTGCAAAAGTTTTGGAAGTGAAACCAAAAGTATGACCTACATTTGAATCACTTTTTGTTGAATATGCATTTATGGTCCCACTTGGATCACTGACTCTGAGACCCTCATGGATCTTGTGGGATCTCAACGTTTTTCCAGTGCTGTAGGACTGGTGACGATTGTGGAATGTGGGCCAGTTTTACTGGGGCCACCTTTACTAGGTGAGTATGGAGTGTGTTTATGTCTCTTACTCTGTGCAATGGCCCAGTTTTGAACAGCAAACCAAATTACAAAAAATAGCTTTATTTATTAAGCATGCAGCTTTTAGGACCTCATATTAATTGAGAGACTACAGAGAGTATTTGTCACAGAACAGAAGCAATTACAATTAACTAGTGAAGGCTAAAATGTTTACTTTTTTTCCCCCCAAAACTGAACGGTCACATGACCTAAAATTAATTTTCCCTTATGCATTTAAATAAATTGTAATCTAAAATCTTGGAAATACATTAACCATGCAGTCCCAGAAGAAAAGACTTTTGCATGCCTTTGCAAAATTAAGATGCATAATGAGGAATAGATTAGGGCATTGTGCATTATTATCTTGCAAAAGTTTTGGAAGTGAAACCAAAAGTATGACCTACATTTGAATCACTTTTTGTTGAATATGCATTTATGGTCCCACTTGGATCACTGACTCTTTTTTTTTATGATTATTGTATGCACTCACAGGGAAGTTCAATGACATCTACCATGACTACAAGTATACATACATGGCCTGTGGAATTGTCCTTCTGGCTGGCAGTTTGTTTCTGTTCATCGGAATGGGCATCAACTACAGGTTACTGGATAAAGAAGCAAAAGATGAATTCAAGAGAGCCAATCTGCAGGAGGAACCTGGCAAAGAGGTTGTAGAGGCACTCAAAGTACCCGATGACAATACTGCAGAGGATGCTGTGTGACAATAGCTGATCCTGGTTTTATTCTGGGTGATTCTTACATTTCTGCACTCTCTACATCGAGGATCTGATTACAGACATCCATCTTGGACTATTCTGGTTACTGAGGCAGTGATGCAAACCTTTCAGTGCCTTGCATGAGCACATGGTCATGCAATAGATATTTTTGAATTATTATTATTTTAGAACCTAACTTTAGTTTAAAACATATACATTTACTGTAGGACAAGAACTGTGTCTCATCTGTTTTAGGGCATTTTATGTACACTGGGAGTGAGAGAAAGATTAAATCAGTAAATGCATGTATATAAAGAATTAATCTACAAGAAACAAATGTTGCCTTCTAACAAAAAAAGACAGTGGTAGATGTGCAAATAGTGTCTCTTGTTAAATATATGCACAAATTGAACATAAAACTTGGTAGATATTTTCCAAGTTAAAACAGTTAATGCATTGTTTTGTTAGTATCCATCCATCCTCGCCAGTGTCTGTTATTTTGTGTATTCTTGTGCATGTGTGTCTATGTGTGTAGTCTAGCAATTTAGTGATGAAAGATTATTTACTTGTTTAAAACTGTAAACACAAAGGCAATTTGTGTATAGCCTAATGGGAAATTGTTCTTGAAATGCCAAATAAGTTACTACCAGAGCCAGTTTAAATGTATATCATTTTTCTGTTGCAAAATGGTTAAAAATGATTGTCGTTTTAATAAAAGTTGTTTGACTTCACATCTGTTGGGTGTGAACCCTGGTGGTCTTTTGAGACTCACAAACAATGATTTAAGTACCTCTTATTTTCTCTTTGACTTCTTTTGCAAAATGTTCATCTGACCTATTCAAAACCAAGCTTTAACCCTTAGTTGGATGCACCTTTCAGAAATGTGGCAGGTATCTGAACAAGGTTCAGCAATGCCTTCGGAAATAACTGGATTTTAGAAAAAAAAAAAAAAACTAATGGCAGGAGAATATCTCCACCAGTCTGAAAATATCATGCAACGCCTTCGTGTTACCTTAGATCTCTGAGGCGCCGAATTAAAGTAATGTACTTTTGAAGCATGCTATAAAAGTTAAAGCTTGTCTTATAATTAGCATTCTTTATAACAAACCAGGGGGAAATGAATATTAAATTTCGGAAGTTCCGGCTGATATGGGGCCTTCATTTTAATTGCTACTCCTGTTGCTAAATTGAATCAGATTCAGCGCGTGAAACCGCGCAAACCATTTCAAATTGGCGTCGCGCGAGGCAAAAACCGACGTCAGGTAAAAGCCGTTGGTCAGCGGAGTGGTATTAATTAGAAAAACGTTCAGAAAGTGCTAGGTGATTTGCTTAAAGGTAAAGAAATGTTTCTAAAATTAAGTTTAATTACATACACGTCGTTTATAATAGTGGAAAAGTAACGGAAATCAGATAATTTGTGAGGAATAATTACCTTTGCTTAACTGCCTCAACTTTCGACTTGACGTTTCTCAGCTAGGGAAAAAACTCAACAATAAAACTATTCGGGATACAGTTCTAAGGATTTTAGAAGTGATATATTTCGTTTGACTCCACAGCATGCAAAAACCATTCAACTTCAAACTGCTGGTGCCCCCAAGAGCTCATTTGAATCAAATTTCCGCAGTGAAGCCTCAGGAAACAGGCTTGTTTGAAGACAACCCTGGTTTTTCTCCTTCAAACCAGGTTGGTAAACTTGTAAATTCTCTGTTTGAGTTATAATGTTGCTATTTGACCTCTGGCTGCTGAAACTGCTGTTTGAACATTTAACTGTAGGATGATACGTGTATTTTGTTTGAAGCGTTATAACAAGTGTTCAGATATGGAGACAAGCCTGCCGATTCCATCTAAAATGGTGCTTCCTACGAAGACATCAAGAACTGGTAACATTTATAGTCTAAATGGAAAGTGTGCTGTAATGAATATGGTTTTAATGTAGTAAATACATTAATCCTGATACTTTGTTCTTACAGATGGGATGAAGAAGGCTGCAGTCATGCCAATGGAAAAGGAGGAGGTCAGATTAAATGCTTATTTCATTTTTTTATTGTAGTTTATTGCTTTGATAATTATTCGTTTATTTTTGTAATCTGTAATGGTTTAAGGTCCACATTATGAATTCAGTGCAAGGCATAATGTAAATAAATCTAAGCAGTTTAATTGCTGTTATGCTTTTGCATTACAGACATCATTAAGATCCAGCCAGCTGTACTCCAGATTGCTTGATGAAGCTGAGAAAATCAAAATGTGGAAGTTCAAAATAGATTCTGAGATTTCACAAAAAGACAGAAAGCTTCAGGAGAACAGAAAAACCATCGAGACGCAGCGCAAAGCTATTCAAGAGCTTCAGGTAAATCACGTTCGCTGGTAGTGCATTTGTTGTTATTATTTTTTTGTCTGCTTCAGTAAATACAGAATTATGAATTATGTCCTTTGCAGTTTGCAAATGAAAGTCTGAGCATGAAATTAGAGGATCAACTGAATGAAAATGAAGACCTTAGAAATAAGTACGTATATCATGGGTAATTTTTATGTAAGCACATATTATTTGAAATTGTATTATATTATAAATTGTTATATTCTTTATTATGCAGAAGCAATGCAACCAGAAATCTGTGCAACATACTAAAGGACACATTTGAGAGATCTGCTGAGAAAATTAATCTGTGTAAGTGTGAGAGCATATTATAATATAATATAGCATATCACTAAATATATTAATTCATTATCGTGTGTTTTTTATTTTGCCTGAATAGTTGAGGCTGAACGGGAAGAAACTCATGATCTGTTCATACAGAACAGTGAGAATATTCGGGTAATGTCTTTTTTTTAGGATGCACGAAGTGTTGGCAATAGGCCGAACCCTAGATTAGGACAATCCTTTTCATGACACTGTAATTTGTTAATTTGCAGAGAATGGTGGTAGCATTTGAAAGTCTTCGGAAGCAGACAGAGTCTGATCAGCAGGATATGTTGAAATGTGCTAATTTTTTATTCATTTTTCTAATTATTTTTTTTACAAATTAATTTAATTCATTTGAAGTATATAGTGTATTAGACACAATGAAATAAATCATTTTAACATTGTTTTGTTAACATCCTACAGTAAGAGAATGCCTTACACAGTTTGAGGATCTTAAAGTGAAGTTGGAGAGTGAATGCCTTGTGAAGGAGAACGAGGTTAGTAGTGCCTTTGCTCATGAGCCTTACAAATAACTCATTCAGCCTGAAGGGGGCAGCATTTGCTTGAATAATCTTGATTTGGAAAGATCTTGAATACAGTAGCACTCACCTGTCTTTGTGTTCATGTTGTGACTAAAACACATATGTATTTTGTGTTCCTTGACTTTAACTTGTTGAGGTTGCTATGCTTCAAGAAAAACTCCAAGAAAAAGAAAACAATCTCAAAGATGTTTCACTGAAACTCAAAGAGGCACAGCAAAGCTCCAGTGTAATAGAGGAGTCAGAAAGTAAGAATGCTTGAAACATTTGCATCAGTCTTTTTTCTTGATTTTTCAAAAAGTCATTTACCTTCACTATCGTTGTTTTTAGGGAAGCATCAGAAATTACTTCAAAGTGTTACACAGGACCGGGAGGGACTTGAGGAGAAACTCAGGGTGGCAGAGCAACTCAAATGGGAGATCGAGGTTTGTCCTTATGCAAGGGCTTTATTACATATATTTTTTACTTGTAAGGATAGTGCATAAAGATTAAAAGAATTCATTTTAGAGATGCACCGATTGCAATTTTCTTGGCCGATTCTGATTTCTGATTTTTTTGACCGGTATGACCTGCCGATACAGATTTTCTTTCTAAGAACTATAATTGACAGCTTATACAAACAAAAATCTACTTTTTTTTCTATTAAAAAAAATATTTACATAACAAAAGAAATTATTAAACATTACAATTCCCCCAGTCTGGACTAACAACTCTCAAAATAAAGTGTTCTGTGACTGGAAAGAGTTAGAAATGAGTTGCTGTATATAACAAAACAGATGTCATTTCCCACTATGTTTTTAAATAGGCATTTTTTCCCTAACCTGCAAAAGGAAGTTGTTTTAAAGGTCATTACACAGCATATGTATTTATTTGAGTTTAAGAATATGATGGAACATGATTGAATAACATCAAACTAAACTGCTCAAACTAAATCTGTACATCTTTCATCCAGGCTAAATTAAAAGAGATGGAGGAACAATTGTCAGGAGCTTTGGAGAGCAGCTGTAAATCATCAAAAGAGGTAGAAAGATTGGAGAGGGACATAAAGCAGCAGAAGTAAGAGCAATCATGACCTGTCTTGTTTTATATCATTAATCTCTAAATCTCAAGACTGAACCTATAATGTTGAAACCAACACGTAAATGTGTATAGCCAACTTACTCCTCTAATTTATTAGTTACTGTTTCACATATTGTACAGATAGTCTACCGTAGGTATAGGTAGATATGTAAGGGAGATAATCTTTCTTTGAATTTTGCAAATAGACATTTTGTATAAGAGAATGAGTTGTAAGAAAAAATTGTAATGTTCATGTAAATGTCATTAAATGAAGTATTTTGGCCATTCTGCTATTGTATCATTGAAATCCGTTCAATATCTTATGGAACTGTTTTTTTCCTTGAAGGGAGAAATATGAGGAGCTGATATTGAAGTTTAATGACCTGCAGATGCAGAAGGACACCATTCAGCAACAGGTTGATAGTGGTGCTTTAGAGAAGAAAGTCCTTCAGTCTCATCTCATGGTTTGTAAATTAAACCAAGTCTCTATGATGTAAATATGACAAAGAGATCCTCAAATGCTGTATGTTGTGGTTTATTTCTTTACAGGAAAGCAATGCAAATGCAGAAAGAGAGAAGACAGAAATTGAGAGACTCGAGAGAGAGAAACAACAACTTCAGTAAGATTAGAGGAGACTTTTGTCTTGCAACATTGCAAATTTGGGTTTATTTATAATTTTAGTATGTCTTACATGTACATTTTCATATTCTAGGGAGCAGGTGGATAATTTATCTGCAAAAATTGCTGGGCAGGATGAAGAGAGTAAGAATGTTCAACAGCAAATGAAAGAGAGTGTGCGTTCTCTTTATTATCTTTCTTCTTAATCCTCTTCGTCCCTCTTAGGGACATAAGGCCGCAATTATACTTTAATATACTGTTTTATTATTTCAGTTTGTTGAGGTGTATCATCTTATATGTCTAACCATAGCTCGTTAAATCACCCCAACAGGGCAAAACTGCAAAGCGGGAAGTTCTGACAAAAGACAAACAAATCAAAGCACTGGAGTCAAAGGTAAAAAAAAAAAAATCATATTGTGACATACAGTACTGTACATATGCACTATTCACTACTGTGCTTAAACAACGTTTTTTAAATTTATTTTATTCTACTGTTTTATTATTTCAGTTTGTTGAGGTGTATCATCTTATATGTCTAACCATAGCTCGTTAAATCACCCCAACAGGGCAAAACTGCAAAGCGGGAAGTTCTGACAAAAGACAAACAAATCAAAGCACTGGAGTCAAAGGTAAAAAAAAAAAATCATATTGTGACATACAGTACTGTACATATGCACTATTCACTACTGTGCTTAAACAACGTTTTTTAAATTTATTTTATTCTGGTTTTTTTTTTCAGCTAACAAACATTAAAACAAAAATAGAGACCAAAACAAAAGCTCACGAGGAATGTCTAAAAGAGGTAGATCATTTACTATTATTTTTCTAAATGATCGAATAATGTAGTAGAACTTTATATTGAAAGTCAGTATGAAACGGGACCTTGGAGATGTTAGCCAAAATTCATTTAATTTGTGATAGTGATAGTCAGTTGTGATTCTTTAGAGGATCTAAGCATGCATATACACTGTTTTCTCATAAATTTTAATTGAGTAAATATATGCCTGTATATATAAGTATAACAGTGGTCATGTTACAGTATTTGACATATTTCTCATAGATTACTACATTGAAAGAAGATTTGGAAAGTATAAAGAAACATTACAAGGAGGAGCTTCAGAAAATAAGCTCTAACCTTGAAGATAAATCAACTTCAGAGGATCAACTCAACCTTGAGGTGATATGTTTTTTGTTTTTTTATAGTTTGTTTGTTTTGTTTTTTCATTGAATGCAACAACTGAAAAAACGAGACCTGACACAAATAATTCATCAGGATTTGGGGGTGGGAGGTTGTAGGTGCAAAAACTGAAGGAAACAGCCATGGAGGCACTGAAGAGTAAAGATGACACAGAAATCAAATGCCAGCAGAAGATATCAGACATGGTTGCTTTGATGGAGAGGCACAAGGTTGTTATCAAATTATACAATATTTTCAGTTGTTTTTGAGCACTTTTCATTCATTTTATTGTTGTTATTTTCTTGGTAGCATGAGTATGACAAAATGTTAGAAGAAAAAGATGCGGAGCTAAGTGAGAAACGGATGAGAGAGGCTGAAGTCAATGCAAGCAAAGCATCACTGGTAATTATTTGACCTTTTAATGGCTTAATCTGACATCTTGCAATCCATTGCTTGCATTGAAAATCATACTCAGCATAACAGAGTTTGTCATTAGATGCCTGAGATGGTAATAAAAGATGGATTTCTAAATTAATTGGAAAGATCTTGAGTTACCATTATTTCCTTGAGACATTTAACCAAAGGTTACTTTAGCAACACCTTATCGCTTTAGTAGGTGTAATGTAAATTTTTTTGGAAAAACAAATCTCTGCTAAAAACCAAATAACCAATTAATTTAGGAACTGGAGCTGTCCCACCTGCAAGTGGAAAATGATGATCTTAGACAACAACTTGAAAAGCTCAAAGGAGAGAAGGTGGCCTTAAGGACACCAGTTTCATCTCTTGAAAAAGACACGCTTCCACAGGTATTGTATCTTGTCAATTGAGATACCATAAGTATACATGGCAATTTAAAGTGAACACTACAGTATGAAAATATTGTTTTAGGTAACTGAAATCAAACCTAAGAAGGGAAGAAACAAGATCTCTAAAACTCAGAGAGCTGACACCGCTAAGAAGCCTGTGTATCCACTTTTAAAAGAGGATGAAAGTGTACCGCCATCACGAAATGCATCTAACACTCCTGCTGTAGGTTTTTTTTCCCATTGTCTTTGTCCATTTTGTGCATTCCTATTCTTCATTTCTATCATCTAACATTTGTTGATGATGCTTTTTGTTATTGATTCAAGGAAACAGTGAATGAAGACCTTCATACTCCGTTATGGAGCAAAACAACTAAAACAACACCTCAAATAAAGGTATGGGGGCAACCTGAACAGTTTGCACTACTCATCATTCATCTTGAGCATTTATATGAGTCAGTTTATTTTCTGCTTCAGTCATTCAGAATTCGCACACCACCCTCACCTAAGATTGCGTGGTCTTGGAAGGAAAATATTCTGAAGCTGGATCCAAAATCAGACAACTCAGACAGCAATGACATACTGGTAAATTGTATCTATTTACTCTATTCACATACTATTGGTATTGTGCCAATATATAACAATTTTCAGTGATCTACATTTTTATTTGCAATCAACTTAAGTAATTTCTTACAATTGTGGTTTGTGTTACTCTTTCTTAATCCCCTGTATCTGTTGTGCAGAGTTTCTCTCCGAGACCTATTAAATCAAAGAAACCTATGCAACCAAAAGACCAAGACACAGGGAGTTTGGACATGTTCAAGAAGGTGAGCAAAAATCCCATATGACTAGTTTTGTCCAGATTGATTCCTTAGTGTTCTTGTTTTGACAGTCATGTGCAAATTATGTACATGTGCAGAGTTCTTTTCCATGTAAGTCTCCAGGAACAGTGCTGAAACTGGCTGCAATAAAGAGAATGCGAGATGCTGGATGGACCACTGTTAGCAATTCAGATAAGAAGAAAAAAAAAGCAACAGACAAAATCTTTGCTTAAAAGTGTTGTCATCAAAAATGTGTGATTATTCTTTTAGAAAACGAGAGCACACATACTCTTAATATAATAGCTTCTGATTGCTTACAATTTCTATTGGTGTTTGAATAAGCAGAAGTATTTATATTATTTATTCTAATCTCTCAGTACACAGTTTCTCTTCATAGTATGTTTGGTTAAAATACAGTACCTTAAAATGTTTATCAAAAGATTCTGGTTCCTGAAACAGTTGTTGTTCGTTTCAGTTGTGTGTTTAACAAATATTTGTATTTATATTTGTGTTTTTCTGTTATCTTCACTAATTTTATTAGTTCACAATTTCAGTTTCAACGTTCAAAAGATGTAACTATTTAAAAACTTTTTCCATAAAAGCTTCAAGTAAAAGTAACATTTTCAGCTTAAAAAGTTTTTTTTTTTTTATATTATTATTATTATTATTTTATTAATAAAAAGAGGTTTGTTGCTGAGATCCTAAGGCTCTTGATCATGTGCATGGAATGTCTGAAAGGTGGAAGTATCAGGGTCTGCTCTGTCTTGATCCTCTCCTAGAAATTCCAAGCGGAACTGAGTGGGTCTGGATGCAAATCCAGGTGCGTCTATCTGGAATTCTTCGTTCTGCACTGTCATGGTGGGGTTGTAAATCTGAGGGCCATCATAGAGTCCTCCTGAAATGACCAGCGTGTCATCTGGCACTGCAAATGGCTCACCTGTGAAAGAAAATTACAGACAATAATACTATTCATAGTGAATATTTAATCTTTATGATTACTGTAAACTATATACTAGATTAAATGTGCTTGCCCATGCAAGACTTGACGGCATGATGTTGGAATTGGCCTGACAACTTTCCCAGACTCTAACCCATTTCTAAGGTGTTTTGAGGGGTTGATAGGATATACAGTATATAT